AAGCCCAAAGATGCACTGCAATATGAAGTTCTTCTAAAACTCTTAAAAATAAATAGTACGACCTTGGTTGCTTTGCTAACCAAATTAAATATTGATATTTATGACTTTATTTGTATGCATCATCATTTTGCAAAATATAGTATATTCTTATATATGATGTATTTTTGTTTATAGAAAAAAAACATTTTCTATGAACCAGAAAATATATAATATGATGAGGTAGTGTGTTTCATAATACAATTTCAACACTGAAAAACCAAACAATCGCATTTGGGAACATCACATGTATATTTTCTTAAGCTTTAATTAAGTCTTTTTCTTTTTGATAAAAAAAGCTTTAAGTTTCGTTCTCAAATTTAGAAATATTTGCATAGATCGTAGTCGATCTCTTACATTTTAATGAGGTTACTTAATTTGGTTGTTTTACGCCCTCATCCAATTGTAAATCGAACTAGCTTTTGCTTATACAAATGGTAGTATACATAAAAACAAAATGATTTCAAACTTATGCAGATAGTCATCATTTATATTTCAAATGAAAATAGACACATTTTCATATTTGAAAACGACATATTGAAAGGATTTATCAAGAAAATTTTCCAATCGACATGTGAACATGTACATGTGGTATGTACGGATAAATAAATAAAGATAATTTGGGCAAAATGGAAAGGAAAATGAAACAGCGAAGGACCAAACATTTATAGACACAAATTATATCCACAAGCCTTCTAGACACAAAGGGACAACTCTATTACAATACAGTTTGGCACTACCACTGGACCTAATTTTATTCTTGTTTTTGTAATAAACAGCTTTTTTCATTTTCAATTATGTTATACTTATTTTTTGGTTTTAAATTTAAATGTTAGGTCTTAGTTATTTAATATTTAGTGATAAGTGTGGTATCATGCATGTGTTTTCTTTTTGAATTTATTAGGTGGCCATGCTTGTGCATCTGCTTATCTTCACCCCACTTTCTCTATTCACTTTCCATCAAATCTTAAAACTTTTTTTTTATTAATTGAAAAACTTTCCTTTTGTCCTAACAATTTCTCTACGTCCTTTTATTAGATTTTTTCTTAAATTAACATAGAGTTGAAGATATATCACAATGCCATTTATATGCAAAATCTTGAGCTAATAATATTTTGTGTTATCCACGTTAATATATATACAGTATTTTGCAACGAAAAAGAAGAAGTAAATGACCACAAAAAGTCTTGAGTTATACATTGCAATTCGGAGTTAACGCGTCGTGTATAGACTATAGTTACGATCCAAATAGATTGTCAATCGTTACTGTTTTTTAGTTATCATTTTGGAAAATTTTCTCTACTTAAAGTTCAATCATATATATATATATATATAGTCAGAAATGAAAGAAGACGAATAATCAATCATTCAAAAGTAAAATATGATAGTGATATAACGTATATATAAAGCTTCATAAAAAGGAAATTGATCGGTGTAGGATATAAGATTAGTTGGAAAAATATTAACAAAAATTATCTTAGACTAGATAAAATAAAACTTTGTAGAGATTCTTTGAAACACATATTTTGATGATAAAAGAAGTTATATACCGTCAAAAAGCTTAATCCGTACAATCACGGAAACAATAATCAGTATTTAATTATAATGTTTAGTGAGATGGATAACACTTCAATTAAGAATAAGCATATCATCTTTTCACTTTAAATAAAAAATGTAATTCCCTTTATCTCTTTCTATCTTTTGCTTTTGTCTCCGCTGAATTTAAAAAGCTCATGAGAATGACTATAAAAATGAAAAGTTACATGTGAAGACAAGCCAAATCGAAGTGAAAAAGGATAATAGCACTAAATCAAGTCAATTCTAGCAGCTTCTTTGTAAAAACAACGACTATTAACGTTTTTGCGTTGAGAAACGGTCATGTGACCCCTGGTGATTTGGAAACTCATCATTTTATCAAATAGTGAGTTATTTGATAGAAATGAACAAATTAGTTATTTTAATTAATTTTATGCTATTTTGTTATTACGCGTAAGTTTAGAAAACAAATACAAATGGTAGATGCGCCTATCTTTTCTTCAACGCACATGAAGATATCTTGGTTAATTATTTGCATCGACCAATTTTGTTATTCAACTATTTTTTATTTGCTAGTAAATAATTACCTAAGAAAGTTTTTCACTTAATTGACCTTTGCTCATTATAGGTTGGAAGCTTCAAATGAAAATTAGAAAATGGCCCCAAAACAATATGAAATGGAATACAAACTAATTATATAAATGTTTTTAGATATCTATCGGCACAAAAAGTCAAAAACTAAGAATAGTGGAATATGGAGCATGCTGAAAAAAAAAGTTTTATGGAGCATGCTAAAAAAATGTTTTCAGATTGGATTCTTTGATCATATAATCAGACATGGTCATTTTGTGTCCGTTTCCTACTTTTTGCAACTTGAAAAAAAATATTGGTTTGAGTTTTATTTTACTCTTTGTTTTTAATTTGTTTTCTTGTTGTTCTTGCTAAAGATTCTCTGAAATCATAAAATACGTTTCAAAGGTTTCTAAGAGAGGAATAATCGTAACATGCCTTTGTCCATTTTCCCAACATTCAATGGACCAGCTTTCTTCTTCTTCTTTTCCTTTCGCCTTCATGTGCTTTTTTTTCTTTCTATCCCATAATTTGGTAAAACGTATTATTATGTGTTGTTGACAAAAAAAAAAAAGTATTATTATGTGCACACTTCTATTCATGGTACAACAAGTTGGAAACTTGGAATCGAATTTTCCTTTTTCTTTTTCTTCCTGTTGATTCAAGTTGTTGTAAATAGTATATGTACCAAGTTTATGAAGTCAAATATAACAATTGTCAATTTAGAACCAAGTGCAAAAAGAAAATCTCAACATGTGTAAATCGACATCAATCATAGCCGAAAGCCAATAGATCTTATTGGGCTGTAAGGCCCATAAGGCCATAAAGGGACTCCAAACAATTTGAGAATAAAGGTTGAAACAAGTGTTTGATTCTTCTTCTTTTCCTAATTTACAAAAATATAGCGTCAAATAAACTGCGATCATGAACAAATCATGAAAATTATGGCCCTTGACACTTATCTGTTTTTCTTTTGAATGATTTTGGTATCGGATCATTAGTACGACTAAACTACTCATGAAAATTAAACTACTTTTTCGAAATCCAAAATCAAAAAAGCCGGAAAAAAAAAAAAAACTAGACAAAAAATTAGCCCAAAAGCCCTACACATCTATATATCTTGATTGTTCTGTTTTGCGTTGAATTCTGTTTTGCAATGGAAGATTCATTCAAAAAGAGGAGGCAGAAGAGTTTAATGGTTAGAGACATCGTTGGAGGCATCAAATAAGTTTTGTTCTTTCTTCTTGATTTTGTTTGTCCTTAAATTATGTTTTGTGTTTTATTAATTGTTAATAGAAAAACCTTCCCCGCTCCTTTTTTCTTTTGGGATTAGGGCTTTGTACTTTTCACTTTCTTAAACGAGAAAGGTCATCGGAGAGTGATGGTTGCAAAACCACCCGGACGCTGGAGGCAGTCACACTATCTTGCTTCTAAGATCAAAGAAGCCAAAGAGATGATGCTTGGAAAATCCAACAACACTGCTTCTGCTTTTTGATTGTCATATATTTGATACGAACCCCAACCAAACTATATATTTGCCACTGGTTTTGTTGTTATGATTTTTTCTTGTTGTGGTTGTATATATCAATTCTTTAAAGATTCCAATGAAATCATTTGATATCTACGATTTTATTAGAGAAAGCAAACAATAAAACAGATAAAATAATGATGATATATAGCTCACTAATTCTTCTCTTCCTCAGCCTTCTTCTTATTCTCTTCATCAAGCCTCTTCCTAAGCAACTTGAGGGTCTAATTACAGAACAAATTGGTTCAAAGTATGAACAAAAACAAAAAAAGACATGATGATGAATATCAAATTGCAATCTTACATGTCTAACTTTTACCAGCAACTTTTCTTTATCTTCCTTCATCTCTCTCAGAATTCTAGTATAACCTTCCTCCTGCGGCACCACTTGATCTTTCATATCGGAATCCATATCTCTCTCTAATATTAAGAAAAAAAGAGTAGAAAATCCTTTTATCTTATAGTAAAATCACAAGTCACTGGTGCAATCAAATATTGACACATGGCAAGTTTATCAAAAAATATATTAAAAAAATAAAAAAGAAGTAAAAGAAATCTTATAGTAATTAATCACAAGTCACTTGTGCAATCAAATGTTGACAACAAGTTTATCAAAATATATATATATATATATATATATTAAGAATATTAAAAAAAAAAAAAGTAAAAGAAATTGGAGTTATGACGAACTCATAGGCAATATAACGAACCATATTTTGCCACATCATCTAACACCAAAACTCTTCTCCTAATGTTTCCGTAATATTTCCGTGATTTTTTTTGCTCTCATACTAACTAGTTAAAATTCCTAGATCCAAAAAAAAAGATACCATTCTCTTCGTTTTAATTTTCAAAATATATGGTCACACAAAAACCATCAAATAAACTAGATTTTTCATATAAACTTTTAAAAATCTAGAATTTGCATTGTATGTGATGACGAATGACGATGAGTGATGACGTATTAGTTTGTTGCATTTGTTACTGCAGATTTAGAATTCCATACTGGTGAATAGTTTTATATATAAATATAAAAGGTTTAAACGAATTTAATCTCAAAAGTACTTAAATCTTCATTGTTCTCACAGATTCATCATACATACAAATGATCATTTTCATAACCTACTTGAGTATATAAAATAACTAATCCAAAAGTCAACGAAATTATAATAATTCAGTCTAGTACTAAATTATAGATGGAATCAAATCCATAAAATAAAATAAATAATCCGACAAAAACAAACTATTCGATAGGAACAGTACTACTGTTCTTGCATGGAAATGTTCCAATAATGCAAATTTCCCAATAATTAGAATAACGTTTTGAAAATGACTTGAAAAAAACAGAGCAGAAGTTCCCAAATCTCTCAGCTCTAATGCCACAACTTCATACAGAATCCAGATGGAACAACCGCAGACGCACCGCTACCACCAATCGCAGAACGCTTTATCGAAACGCGGTCCTCGAAAGTATCTATGAGCTGCTCAGCTAAAGCCATGGGATCATCAATAAACGTATCAATGAATATCTTCACAACTCTAATCTCTTGTGACGTTGCTCTTAAGCTATACCAAGTCAGAAACTTCTGTCTGAAGTTCTTGTCGATATGTCCTGAACACTCGAGCTGTCTTATGATCTTTACACAATGCTCTAGTCCACTCTCTGTTCCTCCATTCGCTGAATGATCACCGTTGTTACAGTTGTCTTTAACCGATTTTTCGATTCTAGCTTGACGGTTCTTGATTTCATCTGACCTGAAGGGAGTAATTGGCAAACTCGCATCTGAATTGTTTCGATTACTAGCAAGATTTTTCGTAGTAACCAGGGCTGGGGTTTCAGATCCGGATCCGGATCCATTCTTATCCAGAACAGCTTCTTGTTCTTCCTCATCCAACAACACAATCTGTTCAACGTTATTCTCAATCTGTACAATGTCTGATTCGGTTGTCCTCTTCGCCCTTTTCGCAGCACTTTCATCAACTGAAGGAGAATTGTTGTCGTCGTTCTTTAATGGCTTCTTTGGGACAATGTAATCGTTGTTGGACTCAGCTTCGACAGAAGAAGGATTAGAAGACAATGTGCTGCAATTTGTGAGAGGGCTTTCGCTTCTTTCGACTCCCGAAGAGCAATTCACTCCTTCTTCAGCGCTACGTGTCAAAACATTGATTTCATCGACGCCCATTTCTCTGGTTCCACTATAGGACACAACTTTGAAGCAATACTCGGAAGCTGGAGCTAATCCAGAGACAACAAATCTTGTGTTTGGAGTAAACAATGTACACGTCGATTTCTCCGGGTAATCTTTTTCTGGTACCTTACGATGCCAAATACTGTAGTGGACGATGTTTGGAGGTGAGGGAATTTCATTAGAGGCGAGAACCACTGTAAGTGAAGTCGCGTTAACATCCTCAAACCTGATCTTGGTTGATCCTGTGGTTGCTGTATCTGCAGATATCTCATTGCTCAATACATAAGAACAATCTACGAAACAAAATCAGAGAATCAACATTATTGAACATACTTAATATATTACTCAATCATTGAAGATATAAAAATCCTGACCTTGCTGCATCTTGGAGCTGCGAGATGAAGGTAATGCAGCAACATCCGGAGGTGTAGTTGCTAGAGTTTCAAGAGATTCAAGAGCAGAAGAGCAAAGTTTCTGCACATCTGGTCCCGAATGAAGTCTGTTTACAATTCCTCTACCCATTTTCATAGGGAGACCAGTGAGAGGACCTACATCAGCTTCAAGACTCTTGACAGCTTCATCCACAACCATACACAGATTTCGGTATTTAGTTGAGCTCTTCAATAGTTTCTGGACTAAGAAAAGACGGTAACAAAGCACATCTACCCTTCTGGTTTCTTTAGCAATCGTCAATTGCTTCTTCCAACATTCAAGCAAACTGTTTGCTTTACCGCAAGAGACACAATAGAAGCAGCATCCCTCACTTTGCTTGTCTTTTCCAAGACCGGATTTTTCAGTCTTGAAAGCACATTCAAGATGACACGAGAATCCGCAAGACTCATCCTCAAATGGAGGATCTGAGCTACATGTTAACCAGAGACTAGGATCTTTGTTATCATCATACTTACGACAGATGCAACAGGAACACCTTCTGCAAAATGAGTCTTCCTGTCTCAATACAGCACGGCAAGCCAAATTCTTGCAGTAGATAGTACTCTCACCTGACCAAATTCTATTTTCGGATTAGAATGCACCAAAAAGTTGATAACATGGAACCCAAAAAAAAAGATTTTTTACCTTTAGTATTAACCGAGTTGCAGCTCCCTGAAGCATTGTTGCTTGTTACATTGTTGCTTGCTGGAATCACATACCGAGAAGGATTATCGACCTTCCTTTGTCTCTTTGTGTTTCTCTGAATAGGCAAACAATCAGAATCTCTCTTCTTCCCTTCATTCTCTCCAGAGTTTTTCTCGGATACAATTTTCAAAAGGGTCTCGATGATCTTGACTTTGGTCAAGCCAGTATACTTCCTTTCTTTTCCCATTTCTGCGCATAAGATCTGTAGAATCTCTTGCCGGCTCCATGCCTGCAAGACCTCAGAAGCTAGATGTGATTGCTTCGACAGTTCATAAACAAGCTGTCTCTTCTCATCAACACTCATTTCATTGCATTTCGATGAGTCACCTGCAGCTCCTGTATATAGAAAGAAAAGGAAGTCAAATTACAATTTAGGCTCAAAGTGAAGGCAATGGAGAACAATGTCTTAACCAGAAACACACAAACTATCCAAGACTACTACAGGAATCTGTCTTAGAAGCTTGTATCTGATCTTACACATATTATGATACTTTACGCAACCTTGTTTTACAAAACTAAGAAGAGTGAATCCAAATTCAAATACAAAGCTAATTTGGAATTCTGAAAAGTGAAACACTTAATTCATTTAAAAACAAAGATAGTTCAACTACCACCACCGGACAACAATGTTGATAAGGTTGGATCAAGGAGTCAGAGAGAACCAAACAACATGACAAAGCAAAGATAATGTTCTTTAGGATGCAATAGACCAAAGATCCAAAGCAAAGAATAAGTCACAAGTTAGAGAATGAAAGCATGATTCTTTTAGGTAATAGAACCCACATTCATCAATCATGCCATCATGGAATCTTATTCTATACACATAACAAAAGTCATATAGTCTTTCGAAGCACGACTAAATTAAAATACCCCAATTCATCAAACCAATGATAGTGGAAAATCACACAAACACAAGAATATGAAGTTAGAACCAATCAACCAAAAAAAAGTAAAGACCCACCATTTAGAATCACCAATTAGAAAACATAAAACTTCCAATAGAAATAGAAAGATTAAAGAACCCAGTAATCTAAAATCAGTAGCAAATTAGTAAAAAAACATAAAGTCTCCAACTTTCGAATAAATTGAATAAAATAAACACAAATTTGAGAATCCAAAGCTTCTTCATTCATCACCAGCTAAAAACAAAAAGAAGTAAAAAAAATATGTTTTTTTTTCTTGAAACATTATTATAGGGAAAAACAAAGAGACACGGATATCGATAAATCTCAAGCAACCAATGAAACCCAGAAATCTAAAAGTGAATACCATCGAGAGAAGAATCCATTAGCGTAGAGAAACTGTCAAGAACTAATCAAACCCACATTATCATCATAACAACCACTCGGAATCTTCAAATCCTGCGATGTGAAGAAAATAAAAAAATTAGGTAAACAATGAAAAAAAATAAAAACTTTATGGGAGTGAAATAAAAACAGAGGAGAGAGAGATCGGGAAAAAAGTATTAAAGGAAAGAAAGTTACCCAATAAGGAAAGCTTAAGAAAAATTCGTCAAGAGATTGAATCGAACGGTTTTTTTTTCTCTCTCCCTCTTCGGAGAAGTTCCCGGAGAACGGATACACCGGAGAAGAGAGAGAGAGTCGTTGTGAGCGGAGAAGAGAGAGAAAGATTTACGCTGTGAGAGAGGAAGAGAGAGAGAGAAGATGGGACTATGGAAGAGAGAGAGGCCTATAAAAGAGATTAGAGGAGATGCAGTTTTCTGGTGGGCCCTCAAAAAGGGTAAAAAAGTTTATTTTATTTTATTTTAACTTTTTTTTATGTTCACGTTACTTCTGTGATTTTGGTTTGGCGTAACGTTCGTAATTTTTTTGATATAAAAAAAATTTTAGAGATTGATTTAGTAACTAGCTATTCTTTTTTACAGTGTGAATTTTGAATTGTTTATAGTAAATCATGATTCATATATAGAAAATTTTAAATTTTGAGATGTTAAAAGTAAATTGTTTTTGATGTCACAGAAAAAGAAGAAATTAAATAGAAAATTAGGAGATGACTAAAAATATGGTCAAATTTAGCAAATATTGAAAAAAAAAGATTCGTGAGAGGTTTATTGAGGTAACTTGGGAAGCAAGACAGCGGACCAAGCCCGTGAAGCCCGTAAAGCCGAAGTCAAAGAATATTCTAGATATCCTATTGTGATAAGGATTAAGAGATTTAGAATATTTACTTATTCATGTTTATATATTTCCTATTCTAATTAGGTTAAACATAAGTTAGTCTCTATATATTGTGTATCAATTCTCTTGAGATCAATAACACACAATAAAGAGTTTTCCCACAAATATCCTCCTTCTCTACTTTCTACAAGGTTAAACCAGAAAGTATATTGAGAAGATATATTCTCCCTACTAAAACAAAGAGGGTCAAATCATATAATACGTATGTAATTGATATAGCTTGTATAATATTATGTGACACTTATATTATCTTAATTTTTTTATTATTGAATAAGCATGTTGCATAATAACACGAGTTAAATACACATTGGCGAATTCGTATACGTGTGTGTTACGGGAGCATTGGCTATCATCAAAAACGGGAAAATAATTACTTGGATTTGAAGGGGATAAAACGACATGTGCCAAACCTACGTTGCACGGAAGCTTCACCGGAGCTCCGATTCCCGCTTCGGAACCGGAAACGGAATCGGAAGCGCCCGGAATCGCTCGGAAGCGCAACGGAATCGCGGTTCCCAGAAAACAGGATTTGGAAGCGTAGGAGAAGCGTACGGTTCAGGTTTGGGAGCGCACAAATAGTTGAACTGGAAGCGTCTAAATTTTTTTTCACATGAATCTGTGTAGATAGTTTAGATCTGAGTATATTCCATGGAAATATATGCGTTTTGAGGTTGAATCTGAAAAACATAGAGGCTATTCTACTGTACGGCGGTGCAATGGAAAGTAACGAAGAAGAAGATCAATTAGGTTTTCTAAATTTACACATGGCTTTTAATTTTTAAAAAAATAGTGTTTAGTCGGTATTTAATAATGAGATATTGTATATGCCATACTCTACGATCTTCATAATGATGGGAATATACGGTGTATCTCTAATTTGGTCTACAATTCAATTTTGGTGTATATATATTTCTAACAAATTTTAATAAATGCTAAGAATTTATAAAAATTACAAATTTTAGTGGAGCTTAGATGTTGGTATATACTTATCTCTTTATCTATATTTTATTATGAATAATTTTAGCTATGAAATTTTGAATTATTCACTATATAATTAAATTGGACATATATATATATATATATATATATATATTTATTTATTTATTTATATTAACGCTTCCAAAACGTACCCGTTTACTAAAATTTTCAAAAAAATCGCTTCCGCGATTCCAAACGCTTCGCTTCCACGCACCCGCTTCCGATTCCATGCAGCATAGTGCCAAACACAGTACACCGGCTAAAACATTATTGTAGCAAACAAAAATAAATAGTATATATTAGTGGTAAATGATCATTTGTCTTTATTTATCAATACCGAAACATTATTTTTGAAAAATTATTTGGATCACAAGTGTCAAGTAGTCTTAGATATATGGATAAACAATTTGGATTCTTTTGGGTCTTTAGCTTTTGTCTAACGTACGAGAACGCATCGACCTTATAAGAAACAACTAACCAACCGTTAATAAGTATATAGTTTTCCACGAAAAGTAAGTACACACCTAATCTGTTTTTCTAGGTTTCTTGTCTAGTGTACACGCAGACTTCTACTTCTATTCAAATTCAGAATATGGGAATATATATGGGTTTCTGTTTGTTTTTAAGGATGATACGCAACAAATCGAAAATATTAGTCTTTCGAACACTTTGATCCAAATATATGAGCATCGACTATACAAGATTGTGCATATGTGGTAATGGTCGGATTGATTGATTACATGAGCCGTTATATTTACAATTTTTTGATAAATGATATGTACGTACTAGAAATGAATTACGATCTAATATATGGTAGACTTGGATTAGTAATGACGATAGGTGAAATATGTAAAATTAGCAACAGTTAGCATATGACATTCTAAATAATTTCCTTTATGAGAGCTGGAAACGTGAAGATAAGTAAAGTATATGGTCATGCTTCTTTCGTATCATTTAATTTGTTGTTATTGAATCTCCACCTAACCTAGCTAGCAAGCATCTATGCCATAGTAAAAGCTAGCTATTATTTGTACGGATAACATACATGTTTATATTGAAAAAAGTGTGTTTTGATTTTTCAAATAACAGCTCTTAAGATTCAAACTAATGACAAATATGTTATGTAGATATTGTTTGATAATCCTTTTCCTACGTGGCTACGTCTAAGCCAAATTATTGTTGACTTTTCGTTGACATATGTTTAATCGGTGTAGCCAAAATCAAAGTGCCCGTGAATTTTAGAACGACTTGTCGTGGATTGAAACAACTACTTTTGGGTACTTTAAATCCAAAGATTCTGTATAGTTACGCGAAATATATATACGATCGTAATAGGTCTTAACTTTGAAACTAATTATATATTTCATCATCTGTATTGGTGGTATGAATATTTTATGCGGAAGTCGTGCATGGTACATTGTTACAAGCTGGATATGACAAAGAATCCTATATATGCAAGAAAACTGTTAGACTTAATGGTGGAAGAATTAAATAATGTGGACTAGCAAGTGACAACATACCATATATATACAAAAGAATATCAAAACTTAAAAACAATATTAATGTTATCATCTCATGTGGTCCCTAAAGGGTTTGTTCAGTTGTGAATTGTGATAGCTTTACCAACAAAAAAAGAAAAACAAATCATGAATCATTGAATGGGGTAAGTACGAAAAGTGAGATCAAAAATCTCATTTACATATATTTCATAATATTTTGTCTTTGAGCGAACTACTATATAACATTAGTTTCAAGAAATAAAGCATTGGTCGTGAATAGTATTTATTATACTTTTGGAGGAACTAAGGATGTGTGATGAGATCAAAAATCCAGAATGCTAGTTCGACAAACGGTATTATTAAGTTCGTAAAAACAAATATCAAGATCAAATTTGGTTAACCTTGATACGATCATGCCATAACCTTTTTAGACTCGTCAAACATGTACATTTTCTTTTGTTTTGTATTATGTGGTTAGTTGAAGATTAACCATCAAAATCTCATGGCCATTCATAAACCTTTAAAAAAAAATCAATCAGATTTAAGAAAACCAACAGAATATTTTCAAGCCATAGGCTATGTTTCACAACACCCCTACTAATTAATAGTACCATATATCTATAATATTATATCTTCTTGCAATGTTTCTGGTGAAAGGTAAAGGCCAAATTAATATCTTACATAGTATGATTTTGTGTAGTTTGATCTAATTAACGAATACCATCATATATATAAAGCAATGAATATAGTATAGTGGTTTCGATCGTCATATCAAAGTCGGGAGGTGTGAAATTGTTTCTAGTGGATACGCACACTTGACTTAATTAATTATATGTTTTGTGTCATAGATTTCATAAGTGGCATGAGTTTTGGCATAACACGCTAAACAATTTATTTTACGTCGGTAGAAACTTGAAAGCGGAAAGTTTGTTTGTTAGAAGAAGCGTGTAGAAAATATGATTAACAACAAATTCTTTAGCATAATAATTAAATCTTCATCACAAAAAGGTGTTTAATTATACTTGTAATTGGGTACATATATGGTCCATCCGATCAACATAATTATGTCCTTTGTAGCACTTTTATGGCAATTTTTTTAAAAAACGCACCAACCGGAAAATGTCATACTATTAATAAATATATATTATAAGAAGAAAAAAAAAGTCACGAGTTCTATAGCAAACTATCGTGAATTCTTAGTCATCTTTAGCTTATTGCTTTTGGACAACAAATCCACTTACGTTATGACACATACACACACACAACGTTGCAAAAAGATGGTCGCAAAGGAGATTCTCTATATGCGGAAAGAGTCAGATAATTTATTTCCTAATCCATTTTAACAATAATTAATCAATAGTTAAGCTTCTTCATGCTTTATTGATTGTAAAGAGTGTTTCTAGGCAGACAAGGTCATAGCCCCCAAGATCTGGAAACCAAACCATTGAAACTTACAAAACCAAGGCCTACTTATTTGATAAATGAAGGCCCATTTGGCCCAATTCTATTATCAACATAGATAAATTAATAATAGTGTGGAGAAAAGTATTATAGTTTTTTGGTTATGAAGGCCCAATCGGCCCAATTATTAATTGTTGTCGTAAAAGCATTATTAATTAGATTTTATTGATCGAAAATGTTGCTGATAGATTAAAATGAAAGAACAAAAAGTCTCTTTTTAATGTAGACTGTAATTGGTTGTATTATGTATATACTGTTTTGTTCACATATATACAGTAGAAATGCTTTAATTTTGTTTTTATTAATCACTATGTAAACCAGTCGACATATGCAAATGGTTAATTTTTTTGTGACAAATTTGATAGTTGATGTTTGAAACTTTTTTTCTTTCTAATTTGCCTCTCCTCAAAGGTCCAAAAAGAAATGGTAGGCA